AAACCTCTTTCCCATCTCTACTCATGTTACCCCAACACAAGTGCTTCGCAAGTGGGGAAGAGGATCTGGGAGGACTGATTACGCTGTAACTAAAACTACTCAGAACAACTCCTAATTATCTACCAGAGAAAGCCATCATCCCAGAATGGTTATTCTCCATCTTATTAAGTCTTCACATCAGAATCAGGTATCTTTCTGGAGGACATCTGTTATCCAGAACTGGTTATTTAGTTTTGTATAAGTGTAAATGCGTGAAACAGGAGCTCAGACTATTTAATATAATTCCTTTCGGATTAAAATTTGTGGCATTAATTGCATTTTAAACATGTGCTAACTAGCAAAATGAATATTGTCTTAGAAAAACTGTAGTATTGATCAAGTACACAGCATTACCATAATGACATAGGAACACTGAGTGTTTTTCCCTTTATGTACTTTCATGTAATTTCTTAAATCCCAGCTGGAGAAAAATATGTCTTGTCTTCTGTCTAGTTCTACTTCAGGCACTACCAGTCTGACATTTTGCTTTCAGGTTCTTGTAACAGCACTACTGAGATCGGAGATATTAAAATTTAGAAAATCTGACATCTTATGTCAAATTATAAGAAAAATGTATCTGAGAGCAAATGGAAGAACAGATAGACCGAACTAAGAAGCAAAAGAAGGGTAAGAAATAGAATGATGGCAGGGAAGATACAGACAAATATAAAAAAAGAGATGAGGCAAGCAGACTACTGTAATCAAATGAGTATAAAGAAAAATATTAAGCATTGTTGAAAAAATAAAGCAGCACAAATACAGAGCTATAAATTCATACATAAAACATATAGCCACAGATACTATGGGCATGTTCTACTAACACTTCTGTGCATGCAGGATTATATTCACAAGAATAATGTAAATTAGAGGGTAATACTCATGTGAGTAATGTTATGCATAAGAGGTTGCAGGATTTGACCTTTCACCATTTGTGTGTGTGTGTGTGTGTATCTGTAAAATATTTAAGCAGGCATTTTAACTTCGAAGAAGACAAAACTTGAAAATAATAGGACCTAAGGGAAACCTTTACCATGAAAGCTGGAGGAACTGCCGTTCTACAAAGAACTGAGGGGAATACCCTAAAGACTAATTATTTGACAATACAGCTAATGTTATTGTTCTGTTTGAACCGTAATACACAAACTGCAACTTTTACTTTATATGTGAAATGCTTGTTGGAAGAAAGCGTGATCAACATGTGAATTTAGATTTGGGGAATCCTAATTAACCCTCTAACTGCTATGCATAAGAAGGCTAATAGCAACTCCAAAATGGGTAGAAGCTACTTACCCTTGTGGGACTCCTTCTGCAGTTTAACGAGACACTGGCTGCTCGTTTGCCTCAAACGTGTTTATAATAAAGAGAAACCTTTATGAGGTAAGAAGCAACTTGTCCGCCTAATAAAAGAGTAGAACTCCCTTGAGTGATTAAAGGTGAGCTACATGTCTTGTCCTTGAAATATCCACGTGATAGAGCTTATTGGCCTCATTTTATGGATAGGAAACTAAAGTCCAGTATGTTGCTTTCCCACGATCCATTGGGAAGTCCAATAGGGCTAGGAATGGAGTTGAGGTGTCAGGGTTGCTTAGGATGGCAGCACGGACTGTTTTCCTATAGAAGGAGGCATTCCTACATTTGATACCTATTAGGAAGTGTTTTACAGGATGTTAAAAAATAAGAAGCAAAAAAAAACCAAAATATGTTTCTTCAGTAATACAGTAATTAAACCTTTTAAAAAGCATCCTCACTTTGAATCTACAAAACCTGCATTAAAACACATTACTCAAGCAACCTAAAAACCACAAGCTTCCTTCTCCAACAGTTTTTGCCTGTGGATTGCCAAAACGGTGCAAAATCTCACGTGTGTATGGGCGCTCAAAATATGTGGAGCCAGACATTGCCAATATCACGGCTATCCTGCTAAAACACCAGATTGCCTCTTCTCAGACGGGTCAGCAGCCTTCTAGACTCTTATCCTAAACTCTCTACCTATCTATCTCTACCAGTACTGTGCTTCAGCTTCATTTGTAAAACTGGAATGATTGAAAAAAAAATGCTTTTGCAAGACTAAACATAGATGGAAAACAATATTCAAGAAGTAATACCGTTAGCAACAGTCCTCGTTGAAACTACACTGGTCTTAGTTCTTACTTTATGCGAGATCTCTATACCGCAAAGTCTGTCTTAGAAATACTTCTAATGAAATCGAGTTACTCATTCAGCACTATCCGCAACAAATGCTTATACAGGATTTCTCTATGGAGGATACTGTTTTTCCTGAATAATATGAAATAATTCATTATTTAGATTAAATATAATATTTAGAATTTGCAAAATATTACTATGTACACCAGTTTATTTACGGAAATGAGGGGTGAGTTTTAAGAGTCGCAGTATTGTGAGTTTTACAGGAAGTACATTTGCTTTTCTTGAAATGATACTTGAATATCCTTGCGGCGGGAGTTACCCTTAGCCTATAAAACATCATTTCTGCTAATGCTTCCTAAAGTAGAACATGCTTGCCTCTAAAAATAAGTCATGATGCTATCAGCAGCCCAGATTACTTTTTTTTGGCAGAGGTCGCCTGACACATCCAAAAATGAATGAAAGAGGAGATGACCAACTGGCTAAAGCAGCTGGTTTAGCCCCCCCACCCCACCCCCGAAGCCACCCCAAGTGGTGACAGCGCGGCCGGGGTGGCATTGCCTGGGGCGGCATCACCCAGGGGTGGCATCTCCTTGGGTGGCATCACCCAGGGGTGTCATCCTCCACCACAGGGAGTGCTGGGGAAGGAGCCCTTCCCCCGGAGGCAGGGGCAGGTAAGAGGCGGTGGTGCTGCACAGGGGGGTGTGTGTGTGTGTCTTTATGTCTCCGCGCATTTGTGTGCCCGTGTGGTGTCTGGCTGCCACCGTGCGTGGGGCGGACGGCGGGCGCAGCGTCTCTCCGTGCCC